TTTTTAAATCAATCCACAAGCCTTTGAAAGCTTCTGAAAACACTGAAACGTACTCACCGTGTTTTTGTAGAGTCCACGTTTGGCTTTCAGCTTCTTTCCCATGCTTCCATCTCCACCCCCTTCCCTTGATACCCTTGTCATAGGCTTTGGCTCTCTGCACTCAAGTGAGTTTCATTGGTTTACCTAATTGATTATTAACTTGCTTATTGAGGATCAATTAAATAATTAAAGTTTGTTAAGGGCAGAGTTGATTCAGTCGCACAAGAGCTGGGGCATTCTTTCCGCTGCGCTGCGTGCTTGTGCGGGTGTGTGATTTTCATTTATGCAGACACTTGATGGAAGTCACGAGTTGAAGGAAGACGATTTGTTTCACTGTAGTGTGGATTTTGCTACAGGGACAGCAAACAAACAACCGTTTACTTAAGCCAGACTGACAGGTGGGGCTCGACCTTTAGTAAGTGTCGTTTAAGGTTTCCTTTATATTCATTGAAAACAAAGAAAATATTGCTTTGGCTAGGTAGCATTTTATTTAGCACATAGGAAATCACAGTGATTCCTCTAGTCTCAGACTTCAATCCGACTTCAGCTGTAGGTGGAAGGTTTTTGTGTCATAGAAAACACTGTCAGGCACATCAGTCCCCAGTCGCATTGGCACTGGAAACGCATTGAAGTGGCCACTTTCATTGCTTGTTTGGGGAATTGGTGCCCAATTCAATGTGAGTAACTTTTAGGGTCAGGTCAACAGGGTGGTGAGTACTGTGACTCTTCAAAGCCGGCGGGGGGAGATGCGATGGAGGGGCTCCTCTTGTAGCAGCAAAGAGAGCCCTGAATAAGAGAGAGGGAGAAAGAAAAACACACCCAGTCACAAACACACAATTACACTACACACACACATACACACACACACTCTCTCACACACAGAGACCTCATATATGAGACACGGGAGCGGAAACGGGTCGAATCCTACTTCAAATTCTCTTTCCTCTCGGCTTGTCGACCGGGGAAAACAAACCGACCCGAGGCACAGCGAATAGGGATTTACTAATTAACTGCTTACACACACACACACACACACACACACACACACACACACACACACACACACACACACACACACAGCAGGGAGAGAGAGAAGAGAGAGAGAAGAGAGAGAGAAAGATACACACCTTCTCTCCTCCCTCCTCCCCCTCCCTCTGCTCTCCTTCCCGGGTTCAGGCTGGTAGTAGTGCTGCCTCTCCGGTCGCTGGCTCGGTGCGCCGTCAGAGTGAATGCGTGTGGATAGACTGGTCGCCGGTGAGAAAACCATTTACTAAAAAAAATCATACTGGAGGTATGTTTTCCTCTTTGTGCATTTTATTTATTGCGTGTAATATTTATAGACATTGAATTTGATATTTTTAATGTTTGTTTGGGGGGGTTTTCCCCTCCAGGAAAAAAGTTGGGGTTCTAGTGAGTTAGTAAGTGTTTTTAAAAAAGCATTTCACGATACGTCTGCGCTGGGCGACATTATTCTTCACGGCTGTCATTTTTGCTATAAATAAGATGTTTATGTTTTCCTATATGGCATTCCCTCCGCATTGTAATCTTGTAACAAAAAAGTTGGACTGCACGTAATTCACACAGGCTCTTTTAGCCACCATTATTGGGATTTTTTGTTGTTGTTGTTGTTTTTTGTTTTTAAATATTTGTCTTTTTTGAAATATTGCAAACGTTTAAGTGCTCTTTGCATCCTTTGCAAGTAGACACTCACACAAACACACCAGAAAGGTGGTTAAATAGTCGACTTCTTCCGTGCATGTGTGAAGCCTCGGCTGTTTGGGCGCACTTGGATGCGTTCAGCTGTCTGCGTTGGCCCGGATTAGCCTTTAAATGTCTCTATTTGTTAAGGCGTCCAGATCTCACCTCCACACCGCCTTATCAATCAGTCAATTAAACAGCCACTCACACGCGGCGAGCTGCACAAGTCCTCAGCCGGTGTATCTCTCTCTCTCTGTCTCTCTCTCGCTCTGCTCCATTTGTTTGTGTGTGCGCGAGTGGCCTCATGCAATTTATAAATATTGTATAATAAAGTGTGCCTGTGTGACTTTTGGATCTTGTTTTTTGTGGGTGGGTTTTCATTGTGCGAGTGCGTCTTGTTGCCTGCATGCTTGTGCCATGTCCTCAAGTTTGGCACGTGCACGTGTTGCACGTGGTCATATTTTGATTTGGTTTTAGTTTATTTCATTATTTGACTTTTTTGTTTTCTTTAATTTCTCGTCTTTAAGTTAGAGTCAGCTTCCACGGTTGTCGACAGTTTTCCAATTTCTCAGTACAAGCTACCAACGTTTAGGTTGTTCGAGTTTATTCCAAGTTTTAGCCCAACACACACACACACACACACACACACACACACACACACACACACACACACACACACACACACCACAAGAGAAAATAAATAAATAAATCAACAACCAAGCAGCAAAGAAGTGGTTTGCTCTCTGTGACCATCCTTCAGTGTGCTCACCAAAGAAAAATATTGAAGTTTACTCCAGCAGGAGTGAAGCCGGCGATATGTGTGTGTGTGTGTGTGCGCACGCGCGTGTATCTGCCTGTATATGTGTTTTCAGACTCACATGGGAGTTTGTTTCAGAAGTGGGCGCATCGATACAGTTCGGAGTCTAGCTTAAAAAAATATATTTGGAATAATCTTTATTTGATTTCGCTGGTCTCTCCCTCATATGGTGTTTTCTTTTTAGGTGTTTGCCCCTTTGCAACTTTGATGCATATTTATGCGCGCCGTGGGTGTACTCCATCAATTATTTGTGCCAGTATAATTCCAGATAAACAGTGTTTGTAAATCAATACATGCATGTAACTATTGCAGATTAAGAGATCGATCAATGGATCCACCGTAACCCCAACCAGTGCTGTTTTTTCCTCCCTCTCTCTCTTTTTTCGAGTCAGTTACAACTCACATCTAACTTTTCACATCTGTCTAAAAAGAAGTTTTAATGCGTGTGAAAGTGCTTGTTTGTGTCTGTGGAAAAACATTTTTGACATTTGAGGAAACTTTAGAGTTTTCTATTTTGTAATAACCAGAAATTACTTAAATATGCCCAGAGTGTGCGTAATAATGTTAATAATAATAATAATAATAATAATAATAATAATAATAATAATAGTGTCTTGTTCTTATAATTAATTTTATTTTTGTATTTATTTTTCGTCACCCTCGTGGCCTCCGTCAGTTTTCCCCTCTCTGTGTTTCCTGTGTGTGAACTTTCAGACCAACGTGTTGAACCTCTCCTCGGTAATTGGATAATATTCCTGCTTTTTGCGCCGCTCCTTGCCAGTCGCCTCATCCGTCTCACGGCTGTCAATACAATAACACAATAATGTTGGAAATGTTTCCGACATTAAAAGCCATTCGGGGAAATTTCTCTCCACGTCACTCACCCTCCCCTCCTTAATCGTTCACCTCTGCACGGCTTGAACTTGTTAACGTGTCCAATTTATTATAATACCAGCACTTTAACGCAAATGTTTATTTACACACACGGTTCACACAGTAATTAGGAATATGTCTCCGTTCCTTCCTGCCCGATGATAATAATAATAATAATAATAATAATAATAATAATAATAATAATAATAATAATAATAACTAGTGTATTTTCGTTTTAAAATAATGGGCTTTTTTTATTATTATTATTATTATTATTATTATTATTATTATTATTATTATTAAATCAAATAACATGCCTTGCCTAAATGCCTAAAACTTCGAATTTCCCTTTCCGATTATTTTACTTCGTTGTTAGGACAATTGTTTATTAATTTAATTTGCTCGGATTCATAATTTAATTTTTCTTTTATGCCTACAGAAAAAAAATATACATTTACTCTTGTTCTTTTTTCTGCAATTCATTTGTATTTTACCTGCCGTCACTTCTAAAGGGTAAATATAAATATCGTTTCTTCCTTTTATGTCCGTGTTTTTATTCGTTTCTCGCTTTGTTATTATTATATTTTATTATTATTACGTTAGTTTTTTTTAAGCCGTCCGAGCTTTTTAATGTCAGTTACATCAAATCAAACTTACTTTTTCAGGCTTATGATCATAATTATTTGATAAGGAATTTGGATATTGGATGCGCCCTCGCTTCCTCATTTTCTCCTTTGTTTTTCGCCTTTTTCCTTTCCTCGTTTCTGAAATAGACTATTGACTTCATTTTATTCATCAAGACAATCCACCTATGGGGTCTCGCACCTCTCCTCATCTCCATCTCGTCTGGAGGAGAAACTTCTGACAGGTGCGAGAAGCGGGTTTGATTTTTAAAAAATGCTCTCATCCTTAATGTGTTGTCATCTGGAAAGCAATTTCGTATGATCAAAGTGCGGCTAGTTAGTGCGGTCAATATTCTTTCCAGCAAGCTTCTCATATATCGATAACAAGACAGCAAAGCCTCTCGCCGAACTGCATTCAGGCCCTGTATCCGTTATATGCCGATAATCCCGGGTACATCCTGTGCGTAAACTGCGTTATAGCCTCATATACATTTCAGGAAGCTTTAATATAAATATAGGAAAGAATATACCTCATTTATAAGGATTTTATAGGAATAGTGCAGAGGGAAAAACTCGAGGAAATGCTGTCTAGTGCGATAAGGTCACCCACAAATGAGTGGCAAATACGCACGAAGTCATTATGTGAGTATTATAAGCTCTAACTGGCTCTTCCTCTCTCTTGCTGTCACAGTTACTGTATGACAGTAAGGAGTAAATAAGGTGATTGATCTGTGGTCTATGAAGCAGCAGTGGTCCTGCGGGAAAACATCAGAACACAAGCCAAAGGATCGACTCCAGTCAGCTGGGCCAAAGCGCCACCTCCCCTGTTTCCTGTTACTTCATTTATTTTCATTAATTATTTGAATTGAGGGCAACCCCGCGTACGTACTTGTCCTTTTAACGGAGGATCTTCCAGTCGTACTAATATATATATATAATTTTTTTTTCAGTGACGCCTTCGTGCGACAGCGACACTTTCCTCCTTGTTTCCTCCTTTCCGGTCGGATCAAGCGAAGCGGCGAAGAAACTTCAAGTCCAGTCCGTGAGACCGTGATCGGGCTTCGGCCTCAGGTGCATCTCTGAGGCGGAGCGACGCGGAGGTCCAGGTGGGTGATTTCAACCCCCCCTCCTTTTTTATTTCTTTCCTTTTTTAAACCGTGTGTCTTTAATGTCTATTTTCTTCCATTGCTTCTCTTCTGCGGATGCATATTCTAATTACAGTCGAACCTTTTTCTAAAATAATTAAAATGGTTAAAAATATTTTTAAGGTAATCTGAGGTCACTTAAGTCAAGATGCTTTCCAGTGGGTGGAGTCATTTGTTGCTGATTTTAAAAAAAGAAAACGGAACTGTATTTTACAAAGAGAGTCCGTGTAGAGATGTAACGTTAAACCAACGTAACCATTCAAAGTGGTAATTTAAACTTTATAAGACAGATTTCTGCACTGTATGAAATCTTTCAGACTCACCTATTTCTTAAAGATTCACAGAAGAACAACTTCTAAAAATTATGAAAAAAATTCAAGACTTGAATTTCAAAATTTCAAGATTGTCCTGTTTTTCTATTCTAAAAAAAAACACTGCAATTAAAAAATAAATAAATCCAAACACCTCTTTTTGGATTTTGAAAATGTGTCAATGACAAAGTGGCACAGAACTATCTACAAATAATCAAAGGTGTCCAGTCTACTATCCAGTAACCCTTGGCCATGTGCAAGATTGCTCTCCATCAAGGTAATGAATGCTTCCTTCGTTTCTTCTGCACCCGTCTAATTCTTCCCGTTTGATATCACACTCTTAAAATTTGTATTTTAGTATTTATGATTCAATATTTATTAGTGTCTGCTGGAAGAGAAAATTCTACCTCTTACTCTCGTAGCCTTATAGGGGAACTGAAGGACTTCTCCATATCTTTTCCATCATCTGCAAACACTCCCTCTTTCTCCGCCCCCCCAACCCCCTCCTGTGGCCCTCATACCCCTGTCGTCTTTCCCTGCCACACCTGGTAACTACAAACTTGTACACAATAATAACAGCCAGATGTATCCATCTATCTCTCTATCTAGCCTGTCGGCAGTTAGTGGAGTGGCTGAGAGACTTGCAGGCGTGAAAGGTCAGTTAATCAATGGCGCACAATTTGACAAATCCCAGTGACTCTTATCATCCTCACGGGTGTTTAGGGCCGAAAGGAGGACCACCGAGATAAATGCTTAATCCTGAGTGCTCAGTGAAAGAGAGAGAGAGCGAGAAAGAGAAAGGACAAGGACGGGAGCGCTCTGAAGCAGATGGGCATGCAGAGAGGTTGAACGCCAGGGTTGGTAGTGGAGGGCAGTGGACTTTGGAAGAGTTGACAAGTAGAGATAGAAATTGAAGAAAGAAAGAGATGCGGAAGTGACTCAGTGCAACAACTGGAAGGTGAACAAATGTGCCTGTGTTTGGAAATGACAGATTGTACTTTTGTCTGTCGCAATCAAAGGACATGTGCGACTTTGTGGCTCTCAGATCACAGAACATTGCCTCGGGCTGGACAGGCCGAACACATGCCTTCTGGTCTGACAAAGAAATCCTGGTTCACTCTCGGTTATGGCTCTGCTTCTGTGTGTAAAGTTGAGAAAAACCTGAGGAAAACAAAGGTGTATGAGTGGTTGAATTCTCCTGTGGCATGTTAGCCCGCCTGCAGCAGTGTGCAACCAAGAGGAAAATGAGCTTTTGTCCACAAGGCTGGCCTCTTTTTTTCCTTCAGTTTTTTTTAAACTGCAGGGGTTTTGGAAGAGGGAACAATTTCTCTGCCCTTATACCCTTAACAAACATCACCTCAGTAGGACATGTCGTCACTTGTTTTTATACTGAACTGCTAGGACCTTGTTATTTCCTGTTTTTATATTGGCATACATCACATTTAGTTAAAGAATCCAAATAGCATTACTGTCACCAAAAGTGATGGCTTGAATCTGAGGGCATGAATGTAATTTCCTTGCCGTGTGTGTTTTATCTTTTTTTTCACATGGGTGCAAGAGAACTGGAGCTCTTTGAGCAATCACACAGACAGACCCTCATGTCCTTTATCTCCATCTCAATACAAGTTCAATGTAATTCAATTGAGATTAGTTGAACTGGCATGACAGCAGATCCGTAGTATTGCCAAAGCACTTAGGAGGCAATGACAGAACCACATCGATGTGGACTAACACATACACAACGCTGCACGACCGGCCAACCTTGTAGCGAGACTAAGACACACACATGCACACACAAAGTATAGGATCGAGTGAGAGAGTGACAGTCGAGTCAAAGAGGTTTTGGCAAATCTCAGGATGATGAAGTTAAAGGCTGATAGAAACTTGTCGAAAAAATGCGAAAAGAAGGAGAGAGGAATGATAAAGGGACCCGGATGACGAGCAGAGCTGATGTATGACAGAGTTCGTCCAAAAAAGATGAAAGAATGATCGACTCTCGGGGAGCACGACGGAGAGAGAAGAAGAAGGAAGGACAGGAAAGGGGGAAGAGGAGGACGTGACAAAGTGAAAGAGGTGAGCGATGCTGAGGAGCGCGAGAGAAGAGAAAAAGCGAGTGAGGAGAAAGCGCTGAAGGCGAAAAAAGGAGAGGACAAGAGATAAAGAGAGCAAAGGGGGGGAGGGCAAGAAAGGATAAAATGTATAAGAGTGATGTACGAGAAGAGGGGAGAGGAAGAGATTTACTAGAAGAGAGATTAAGTCAAGTTGTCCCCGGTCAGTCATTAATCCGATTTAAGAGCAATTAAGGTGAGACTGATTCCTTCCTAGAGAGAAAGAAATAGATGGAGAGGGTGAAGAGAAGGGGGAAGAAAAGAGGAGACAGGGAGGGAGACAAGGAAGGAGTGATTGAAAGAGAAAAGTGGGAAAATAGAACAGGTGTCTGAACTCTGGATGTCGGTTAGTGGACAAATTACAAGCAATGTACTGAAAAACTAACAGGAACACTGGCAGAATACTCTAATCTGTTTATTTGACTGTCATGTAAAATTGGACAAATCCAAAACTTGCTAAAAGTCACAGGTTAGGGAGCGAGGTGAAATAAATTTTTCAAAAGGCACTCCAGAAGTTTGGTCGTGGCTTTTCGTGTATTCTCGCATTCGTTGACTAACACACATTCCCTTTTGATCAAACCATGGATTTTCCGTGACATTGGGATCATAGAAGGGTACCTCCACACTCTGTTAACAGAAACTAACATCTGAAGCCTGCGTGTTATAGCTCAGTTATCTGTGAGATTTGTTTTGTGAGAGTGGACAGGAGACGTGAAGTTGAATTTCAGGTGAAAGTGCAGCGGCTGCTTCCCTCCAGTCAACATTAGACAGCGAAGGGCAAAGAGGAGAAAGAGACAGTGTTAGAGAGAAGGAGAGTGAAAGACAAAGTGGATGACTCTCCTCTGAATGAAAATGAAAAGCACGGGAGCAATGAAGAGTTTCCCTCCTCCTCCTCTTCCTCTTCCTCCTACTGCAACAAACCCCTCCAATCCCCGCTCCGTGTGCTCTGTTGTTCCAGATATGTATCAGGGGTCTCGGGGTCAGCAGAGGGGTCCCTCCACTTGCTGTAGTGTTTCTATGTCTATTGGGAGATGGTGGTCCTGATAGCTTGGCCGTCTGACACGTACACAACAGTACATAAATCAAAGGCGCACATACACACCCTCACTCCATTTATCTCCCACTCAAGCAGTGCGGTGATAGCAGCCAACTCTGCATAGAGTCAGACAGAGGGAGAGGTTGTGGTCTGTCTTGTTAAGTGGGAAAGTAATAGGTAGCTGTAAAAGGTTTACTTCTGTTGCTGCCATCTCTATTGTTCAGGCTTTTCCAGTGTTTGTGCCTCTTTTGTTTGATGTGCTTCAATAGTATATAGCACACTCAACTACGTACATAATTGCTGTTCCACATAACTGCAGGACAGCAGCATGTTATTATGAAGTCTTTTAAGGCAAAGAATGTAGCAAATTGAAAGTGAGGTTATAGATTTTGTTTGTAACATTTTAGGTATCTGAATGGAAATGGTTTTACATGATTTCATTGACTTACATCAGTCACAAATGCACGTTTTTCAAAAGAACTCGGCCATTACTGGGAAAATGCACTTATACACATCTCTTTATTTCATTTTCTGTTTTGTCCTGGCTTTTCTCCTATTAAGATTCTCTCTATTTTTCTGTGGCGCATCTATTGCAGTTTCTGTGGACCAATCTGTAGACCATCGCAAGTCACAGATTGAGAGGCCATTTGGCTGCTGTTGACAGGAGAGAGCAGCTATTGACAGGGCCCTGCCGGGGAGGCGTGTCTCAGGCCCCACGTCCAAAGCGTTTGTGGCATTTAATACACTGTAGCAGTGGTCCTCACAGCCCTCACCCTGCGTGCTACTGCCATAGGGATCAATATGCACTGGGTTAGAGAGAAATGGACCATCTGATGCACACTCAGAGAGGGGGATGAGAGGAAAAAAAGAGTGTAAGAGATGGAATCAGCGGGGAGGGGTGGGGTAGCGAGGGATTTAAGGGAAGAGAGGCAAAAGACTTGAAAAGGGGGAAATGGTGAGACCTAAAAGTGAAGAAAAGAAGAGAGGAAATGATTAGAGGCATGGTTTAAAAGACATGGAGGCAGAGTGTTGCCCAGCACAGAGATAGATAGCAAGGGAGAGAAAGTGGTCAGTGGTTGAAAGAGACATTCAGCTGGGAAAGAAAACAGATTGGAGGGAACGGGGATAGACACTGAAAAAGAGGAAGGCTCTAGACACCAGGGAGGATACACACAGGAAAGGAAAAAAGACATAAGGGAAGAGACGAGTGGGAGATAGGAAGGGAGAGGGGGAGTAGAAGGAAGAAAGGAGAGGGGAGAAAAACAGAGGTGGTGGTGGGGGGGGTGCTGGGAAGGATGAGGAGGAAAGGAGGGGAGTGGGGGGGGGACTAAAATTTCCATCAGGTTTTCAATTGGGGCGGATCAATAGTGTATTAGAGCTCACCTTGACCCCATCCCTCCCCCCTCTCCCTGGCCCAGCACACAGGCCAAGCTACTCTCCCTCACAGCAGGGGACAGAGAGGGGGAGAGATTGCATTACGGCCCCCCTTTCTTGGACCAAAGTGGC